GAACAGGAAGAGTTGAGCAAGCAGGGAGGGAGCCGTGTGAGCGTTTGTGTGATTTGAATGCACATGCTTCAAATTATTGATTGTTCATATTGATGTCTGCTCTCAAATCAGTGTTACTACGCGCTCAAGATGATGTCACAAAAGTAACACCATACAAAGGAGGAGGAAAGGAGAAGAGTGCTTGGAAATTGCTGTCATCTAAGATTCTAAAAGTCTTCAAAAACATCAGGGAAAGTCTCCAGATTTGTTGCTAGTTGCATTTTGGGGGGAAAAAAACGAGTCGCTAGAGGGATCTAAAATGCCGTTAGATCCAGCAACGATGTTGCTAAGTTGGCAACATTGCTCCACTCRGCTCACTCCCAAGTCCTGTGACCAGTCAAATCGCAGCCTGTGCTATTACGAAATCTTGTTTTAACAAATCGCGAGATTATCACAAATGCGATTGATCGTTCAGCCCAAACAGCCAGCAGAAAAAATGAAAACATTGATCAACAATAAACACAGTAAATACCATAAAACTACAAATATACCATACAGACACACAACACTCAACAAGAAGTATGTAAAAGGATGATAGCAGGGTAAAATGAATTCTTATATCTGTTGGTTCTGCATCTTAAAGCAAATCCGCATCCTGATGGTAAAAGAGAAAACTCTGTAAAGAAGGGGTGGTTAGGTTCAGCTAAAATTGTCTGAGCTTTCTTAAGGGATTTCTGTGGACAGTAGATCTTGTATTTCTTGGTTGCCCAACAGACAACCAGGAGGCAGGATGTGTTTGTCCAAAATGAAAATAGAATGTTTTTGACAACTAAATAACTGTTATGTCGACCCCTGTATATATCTTGTGCATATGTTATTGAGCTGCTTATTTATTTTGTGTACCTACTGCCTACAAAACTAAACACAATCGTTTTTTTAATAGTTAAACTCTTTATTGAGGACTACCTACCCAAAGATGCTCCAGCTTGAAGACAGGTGGTTAATATATAAACCTGCAGGTGTGTTTTTTTTTAGTCATCTTAACATGTTGTGAAATTGGTTAATTTAGGGCTGGGCGATTAGTTGATCACGATTATTGATCGAAAAAATTCAGGTCGATCACGGTGATCAGCTCTGAGCCTCTTCCTCGATCAAACAAGGCATAAATGTGCGCTACAACAGCCAATCAGAATCCACCTTCTCCTGCTCCACTTCCATTTATAAGTTGCTAATGAAACACAGACGGAATCGCAGAATTAACTAAACAAAATGTAAGCCAATATAAAATGCTGAATCTCACATAGTTCACTTATTTGGGCGAGTTTCTGAGGTATTTTGACCGCTGTCGCTTCCTGTACCTGCTGTTACCTGCTAACAGGCAGGTAGGAAGAGCTCTGAGTTCTTCTCTCGACACACAGAGAGGGAGGGAGGAAAAAAGAAAAGAGAGCCACGATGCTCTCTAAAACAAAAGCATCCTTCAAAAATATGAAGTGGTCTTAGAGTAACTTTTAGGACAGAACAATGTCCCAGCTGTTCTTCATTTATCTGGAGAAGAACTTTTCTGTAAGTTTTATCAGCACACGATGGGCAGGATGAGACGTCAAGACCACTTCCTCTCTGAGTCTCATCACAAACAGCAGCTGAGAGAAGCTGCCAACTCCTGAACAGCTGGCAGTTTATACAACATGATGTCGTGTGCAGAATCAGATATTCTTTCAGAAAAAATGAAACAACGTTGTTTGTTGTTTGATAAAGCTCTGTAAACAGGAGGGTGTGTGTGTGTGTGTGGGGGGGGGGTCCTTCCATAACAAAAGTAAAAAATAATGAGCTTAGATCCTATTCAATTGGCTAGTGTGCACAAATTGCTGTTTGTAGGTTTGTGTTTCTTTGACATATTTAATGTGAAATTCAATTCTAAAACTGAAATTTTTACAAAAGACTAACTTTATTAATGTGAGATTCTATGATTTACACATAAATGTTTTTTTTTCTTGGTAAATACCTTTTTTAATACTTTGCAAAAATAATTTCATATTCTACTGAACCACAGCTATTTGTTGTATTAGTAAACGTGAAATAACAGCAGTAATTTTGTTTCTGTAGCTATATTTGTTAAATTATTTCTTAGTGACTTTCTAACAGTTAACAAAAAAATTGTGATATTAATTGAGATTGGATAATATGAAAAAATTAATCGTGATCATTTTTTTTGCCATATCGCCCAGCCCTAGGTTAATTCTACTCAGATTAATCTAATACAATTTATGAAAGCACCATTTAACTTTTTTCTTTCTGTTTGCAAAGGTGGAAATGGAAGGAGAAAAATCTTTCCAGTTGCATTAGAGTCAGAGGGATACACTGGATCCATCATCAAAAGAGCATCAAGTGGAGGGAAATGTTTGCTTTACATAGTACCCCTCCAAGATGACTTGGATTTAACACCCCTACCAGCAGATTCTATTGAATTCTCTCTAATGCCAAAAGCATCATGCAAGTTTTGCAAGGCTTCAATGCCATTGCAGATGCTGGCTATGCACATTGCTAAATGCAGCAGTGACCCATGTAGCTCAGACAGTGAGGTACATAATGTTGTTATAGTATCCATGTTGTTAAAGGTCCAATTTCAGATTTTAAGTACTCTTCTTCATGTATTCAGGAGGCTGATGTGATGTACATAGAACAGACTGCTTCAGACTGTTCTACCACAGGAGAGGGTGGCCTCTCAGAATCTCTACAGTCCACAGTACATCATTCTCAGCAGGTACAGCAAATAGTATATAAGATTTGTCAGCCATTACTTTGGGCTTATATAAGTATTTTAAAATTAAAAAACAAAAACATTTTTTTAATCTGCAAATTTTTCCTGAGTCAATGAAGATGGTTAATAATTATTCAACTCTTGATATGTGACATTCTCTATAAGCCACCCCTCCCTTTTTAAACAAATGTATAGCAACGTACATCCTGAGATCCAATCATTCAAACTGACATAGCTTGAAGACAAAAATGTAAATTATTTTTATCCACTCACTTACCTAATATATACACTCAGTGTATTAACCTCACCTGTAAATCTAGCCTGGAAAAAAAATTGTAATACTTGAAACTGTTTTTCGCATGTTTGCTGTCTAGGTAGGTTAATCATCTTAGTGCATTCGTCTTCACTCTTTTCATTTTATTTTTTTGTTGTCACTGCATGTTATGTAAAAATAACTATTGTGTATTGTTCCTGTTATTATCCTTTGTTCCAAATAGATGGATGAAGYCCAATGTCCTGTGTGCACCAAATCATTTCCACTGTTAGATGTTGAAATGCATGCCAGCCTCTGTGGTGAAAGGTGATTAACTAGATTTATTTTTATGGTGATTTTTATTATTTTTTAAAAAGTTCATGTCTTTGATGTGCTTCATGATGGCTACTTTGTTCTCACTGATTTTATACGACTATATTTAAACTGATTTCAAACTCAATAAAAAAATTATCTGTCGTTTCAGAACAAATCTGTATCCAAATCAATCCGGGGAAGACGACACCATTCTGGATCATATTTCATGGTGACCACTCCTCTTATATATATTTTTTAACTTTTTAACAAAGTGTTTTTACAGTGGAGTAATATAAGAATTTCAACAGTGAGGAAGATGTTGTTCGCTGGGCAGCAGCACAGATTGACACAAGCAAAACCTTTCAAATCTGTGTTTCGCGAGATGATGTGGTTGAAAGGGGATTGAAACTTTGGCAGCGCCAGAAAAATGGTGGACCAGTGAACCCTTTGAAAGTGTCCTTCCTTGGAGAACTTGGCGTGGACACTGGCGCACTTAAAAAGGAGTTTCTCACAAGTAAGTCAGTCTCTTATGTAGTATAGTGTGTAACGCATTTCAACAGAACTGTGACAATATGTCTTGACAACAATGTCCATTAAAATGTTTTAAGTTTTATTATTTGTATTGAAGTTCTTTCCCTTTAAACACAGTGACAAGTGGTATGCCATGTTGTGTTAATTATGCAATTTTACTTTTGTTTTTTTATTTGCTCTGGTTTCTAGCCATGGTTGCTGGACTTGAGAAGAGACTGTTCGAGGGTGACAGCGAGAATGGAAAAATACCAAAATACTCTCTCAATGACCTGGATAAAGCACTGTTCAAGTATGTTATTTTGGCTCATCTTGTGGACACTTGCTCATTTTAATCTGTACAATCAATTAAACCTAGTAGAATCATTGTGTCGAACAGTGTCTCCTTCAAGACAGTTACAATCAAAACTACTGAAGTTCCTGTCTCAGCTGGCAATAAAATTTTATTAAAAAAATTATTTATAAAGCTCATTATATACCGAGACAAAATTATAATTATAATTCAAACAGAATAGGCTCTTGTCAACATAATTWTGGAGCGTGATTTATTTTCAACTCAAACAATATTCAAACTATCGAAATATAAAGTTATTAGTGATGGAAAATCCATCTGGATAGCAACAGACTGACTGCACGTAAAATATGACAGGTCTGGACCACACAGGAATTTTGCTGTGATCTGAAAAAAATCTTGGAATACGAGAAAATTGATGAATGAAATAATTTCTCTTAAATCACTCGTACGCACAACTTATGAATAGATCTGTTCAGACGAACGGTTCTTGCATCAGGCCCAATGTGACAACAAACGTTGACCGAACTTCAAAATTTAAATAAAAATGTACTTCTTTTAACACACATGTAAATTATTATTCAACCCCCAAACTTAGAATTCTGTGATGCATCCTTTAGCTTTTATAATTGCCAATTACAATTTTGCACTGCCATACCTGTGATGCTGGTGTTTGTACATCTAATAAATTAATGACCTATGATTTACAGAGTTGCAGGGGAAATATTTGCTGTCAGTATTGCCCAAGGGGGACCAGCACCACAGTTTCTTCAGGAGTGGTGCTACAACTATATCGTCACCAGAAAACTTCAGACTGAAGGAGTACATGACATGGAGCTGTCACCATTAATGACAAAGGTGTGTTTAATTGACAATTTTGAACCATCGTGAAGTAATCATTCGTAGAGTTATTTATTTATTTTCATCCAGACTATGAAGGAGYGCATATTGCAAGGAACCACATATTAAACTTAAAAGGGTTATATAAACCAAAACAGGTTATACATTTTACATTCTTCAAAATGGGCACCTTCAGCTTTGGTTACAGCTGTGTGCACTTGTCATTCTCTCAATAAGCTTTATGTACTGTAGTCATCTGGAATGGTTTTCCAACAGTATTCAAGAAAAACAAAAGAGAGCAAGGCTGTAATCAAAGCAAAGAGTGCCTACTTTGAATATTTTCAAATCTATAACTTATTTTGGATTAACAGTTTAAGTTTACTGTATAATGACAGAACCTATTCCTAGAGTCTGGGTGTCTTCTGTATCAAATTACTAGACTGGGGGGAGGGGGGGGGCACGACAACATTAATTGAGATGTGTTCAAACTTGTGACTGGTAGTGCATATGTAATAACAAATGATTTCTGATTAAAAAAATATAATCTCTGAATTTGAAAGTGATATTTACAAATTAAGTGAAAATCATGAAACAAAAATTAAACTAAAACTGTAGCTGTACGATAAGCAACTTGTTTTTCTACATTAAAACTAGATCGAAGGTGCATCTGATCTCTCTCCTTACACTCATGAGATACTGGATTGTGGCTACACTGGTCCTATTGATACAGACCATAAAACCAGCATATTGAGGTATGTTTAGAATTCAGAAAACTAGTTGTAAAATCACATTCTTGCCAATTTTGAAACTAAATCCTATTCTCAGTGTTAGGAAATGATTGCTGACTGCTTTTATGTGCAGTATTCAGATTCAATCTCTGGACATCTTTAGACATTTATTGAATGAACACATGAATCAATATTTTTGCATGCACTTTCTAGGGCCATCTTGCTGCATTCAACCACAAAACGCATTCCAATGCTAGAACAGATGCGAGAGGGCCTTGAAGTCTACAACTTAATGAAAGTCATGGAGAGAAAGCCAAAGGAGTGTCGCAGTTTATTTGTTGTAGGCCATAATGACAAGGTATGCTGTAGCCTGAAAATCTTCTTAATTTGGTCATTGGTCCATTACATAYATGGAGCCATCCATACAGCTGTTAYTTTATTAAATTATTCTATTCTTAGGTTGACTCCAACTACRTCATGTCGCACATTGCCCCAGAACTGAGTTCCCAAGGTTCAACAAAGCAGGCAAAGGAGTTAAAAGTCTTGGATTACCTCCAAGACTACTTGAATGAACTTGAAGGTATGTAAATTGTTGTATTTATGTTTTGAGCATACTATATTGCAATTTAATTTAAACACACCTTTTATATATTAGACAAGATTTTTAATAAAGACCCTGTGTTTCAAAATATATAACATGGCCCTATGTTCTGAGACTATGAAATTATGTGTTTGTGCTAAATAGTAAATATATTATTAATGGTAAATACTCTGAACTTGTGTAGTGCTTTATTAAGACTTGTCGAACTTCAAAGCAYATTACTCTACAAATCATTCACACACTGTAAGCTACATTGTAGCCATAGCTGCCTTGGGACACACACCAGCATCACCAGACCCTCTGACCACCATCAATAGGCAAGGCAAGCGTGTCAAGTGTCTACACGACTGCGACACCTGGAATGAGGGCTCAAACTCTCAACCTACCAGTTACAGGAGGTTCCCTAACCACTCTTCCACAGCTGCTACAATGTTCCTTGTGTCAGAACAGAAAGGGGGAAGAAAGCATTCAGCTTTTCTGCTCCAACCTCTTGGAACTGTTTGCAATCAGAGCTTAAACTTATAACAATAGTATCTCTGAATATTTTTAAGRCCATGATASATCCCATTCAAGTTGCAGAAATGCAATTGTTTTCAGTTGAGTAATTTGGTTTATTGTAAGTTTGTTTATTGTCACTGTGTTGTAACTTGTGTCTTTTTGTATGCTGCCAGTCAGTGCTTGAAGTGCCAGTACTCCCCTTTAATGTCATATAAATATGGGACAGAAACATACATATATTTTACATATCTGTATCAATCTATAGATCTAGTTGTATTGCACAGAAATTACAAATAACAAAACCAGTTCTAAATCAAACCCACAAGAGTCTAATTCAAAGTATCTTGGAGCGCATAGAATGTAATTACTTTTACTCACTAACATTTACTTGAGTACATTTACTTTTAGAAAAAAATGTACTTTTAGAAGTAGTTTTACTGCATCATACTTTTTACTTGATTATTATTACTATGAAGAATACTCTTGAGTAAAACATCTGAATTACAGGCTACTTTACTAAATGAAGAACAAACATGTTTTAACCAAACCTGCACCTGATACAAACACATCTAACAAGTTGTTCAGATGAGAATTCTTGTTTGAAGATTTGTTGATCTGATGTTAGTTTCTATCTGCTGAGCTGTTGACACATTTGAAGTGTTTATTTTGCCGTAATTTGTTTTTAATAATATTTGTTTGTATTTATGTTTTGGTTTTTGTTTTTATCATTTTAGTTTTCAAAATGCCAAACTTGAACCTAACTTTGTACTATTTGTCTGTCTGATTACATCATTTTTAAATATTAAATCGGATGTTCTGCTCAGTTTGTCAGTACTTGGGTAGCCTTTTTACCAAATACTTTATTACTTGTACTGAGTATTTTTCCTATCATGATCTACTGTGTTTTTAGTTAAGTTCACAGRGCTCTACAGTGCGASTAGTTTGGACGTAAATGCGACCTGATATTTTAAGTAAAAAATTAAAATATTTCCGGTCGCACTAGTATGACCAGTTGTTTGAGGAGAAAGGGGGATGCAGTTGCCCGCTGAAGCAAAAAGTCCCCATGTCCCGTAATAAAGCAAGCTATCTACCTGTATCAAAACACGCACACACGCGTGGACACTTTTGTTCTTCTGTTCTCATGGGGACTTTGCACTTCCATTCACTTACTGATTATTTGTTTACAACTTAATCTCACCTCACAGGTACATATCTGATGTTAAACCTAACCTCACCAAGCTGTGTACCATGGAAGCAGTCAAAAATAGTCCCGTCCGTGAAGCAAAAACATGCACGCGCGCAGTGAATCAACCATGTTGCTCTTTGTTTTCCGCCAAAAGAGTCAGAAAAACTTTTTTTTTTATTGCCTGCGCAGCTCAGTGCTTTTGGTCCAGGATCAACATGCACGCTTGCGAAACATGTCTTGCAACATCAGAAAAGGTTCTGGAACACATTAAACTCAGGAAAAAAGTTCCTGTACGCTGAGGGGTTAGAAGTGGTGGTACTGCGTACTGGTGCATTCCGGCCCACTTAAAGCACTGCTCCCAGTGTTGGCCAGGTATCTCTTGCAAAAACGAGCTTGTGATCTCAGTGGGATAAACA